CCGCACTCGCTAGAACCTTCTGCGCCGCTCGGTCCTGCACGGGTGGGAGCAGACATCCTCTTGCCCTGTGTCTGATGGGGCAGCCCCCGCCTCAGCGCCCCGTGGGCCGTGGCTGCGGCCTCCTGTGGGCCCTCAGACGCTCCCCGTCGGGCTGAGGGGGTTTGCTTCTCACTCTGGTCTCCTGAGCTCGTTTGCCGAGGCGGAGGCTGGATGGGGTCAGACTCTTTTGCGTATCCGTGGAGATGATCGACTTTGACACATTGTGTTTTCATCCTCACTCAGTTCCCAGTACTTTCTGGTTTCTGTTTCTGTGCTGGGAGGAGTGCCTTGGGGTGCAGCCCGGGCCGGCGGTGCGCCCGCAGGGACATCTGTGGCTCCCTGGGCTCGGTCCCCTCCTGAGGCCTTGGGGGCAGTGGAACACCGCAGCAGCTAGCACGGGAAGACCTGGCAGGCACAAGGGTGCTGCCCGTCCTCCCTGGGGCCCAGGGTGAGGACAGGGTCCAGCACGGATGTCACAGACATCTCCCCGAGCCCCGCGGGGAGCAGTGACCAAGCTCTCATCGGAGGCAGTTCCCGGAGCCCCTGGGGAGGGAGGGCGAGCATGTCGGCCACAGAGGCTGGTGTAACCACCCTGACGCAGGGTCATGCTCCGCCCCGTCAGGCGCTGTACAAGAAATCCATGCAGGCGCTGGACCTGCTTCTCCAGAGCTTCCTCTCCGAGAACAAGAGCATGGACGAGATGTGCTTCCTGCTGCAGGTGCAGGCCGGCGGAGCACGGGGCGCAGAACTGGCGGCTCTCGCTGCCCAGCTCAATCTGGGCCTTGGACTCTCTAAGGTCCATTCAGGGTGGTCCCTCCTATACGGGGGCAGGGCAGGCTGGCCGGTGTGCCCCACGCCGCTGACCCAGGGGCTCCGGGGGTTGTCCTCTCACGAAGGCAATGGCGGGCGTTTAAAAAGAGTTAAGGACTCTTCAAGGATCAGGTGACCTTGATCTGGTGACCTCCAATGCAGGTGCCCCTGAGGGCGGGGAGGAACAGACTCACTAAGGGATGCGGGCCGTGCACAGCCTGGAGACAGGCCCTCAAACCTCCTGGCTCCCGTCTGTCTGCCCCCCACCACCGCTGCTGCAGCCCCTGAGGCCGCTGAGGCCGCCCCAGGGCTTTCTGGGTCCCGTGGTCCCAGACCTGGCTTCACCCGAGGGAGCTGGGCTTGTGGCCAGACCTGGAGGGGTGAACCATCCGGGGGCAGGACGGGCTGCGATCGCCCCACTGTGACTTGGCCCCAGCGGCCGCGTCCAAGGCCAGATGTGGGTGGCGAGGGCCCATGGGCTCTCCCTCCCCATCGCAGCACATGGAGCCCTGGCTGCAGTCAGACAAGAGCCACGAGTGCAAGCGGGCGGCACAGACCACCTTCATGCTCCTCCAGTACACGGTGGACTATGTGACACTCACTGTGAGTGCCCCCCCACCCCCCGCCCTGCACCTGCAGGGAGGAGGGGAGGGGCGCGAGTGAGGGGAGGAGCAAGGACACCCCCCAGGGCCCTCCTGCCTCCCTGCTGGACCCGCCCCTCCCCCCCAAGTCTCACAGTCACTATTCGCTGAGCATCCGGTGGCTAGGCACGGGGCTGGGGGACGAGACAAAGGCCCTGTGGTGCCCCCGTCCTGGGGCAGAGGTTGCGGTTCAAATAGCACAGTCAGGTAGATCTTGCCGGCAAGGCTGCCTTGGAGCAAAGACCTGAAGGAGGGTGGGGAGAGAGACTGGGTGGCAGAGGGAGCGCATTCTGGCCCAGGGAACAAAGAGCGCAGGCCAACTGAGACGCCTGGCCCGCGAGACACCGGGCCCCGGACGGAGGGACGGACAGCGGAGAGCAGGGGCGCGGGGCGAGGTGTCTGGATGCCAGGCCAGCTTCACTGCGCCACCTCCTCAGGAAGAGGCCACACCCTCCCTGCTGGGCCACCAGCTCGGCCTGCTGGTGCTGCTGTGGAGGGACAAGGACCCGGTGACGCAAAGCCACTCGCGCCAGAGCGTCTACTTGCTTCTGCAGCTTCTGATCCAGCAGAAGGGTGAGCGGGGCCCCCAGGGGACTGCGGCCGCCAGGGTCCCAGGCTCCTGACAGATGCCCCTCCTCAGGGAGCACAGAGCAGTTCATTCTTCTGAATAAGATGAAGAACTTCGAGGCAAAGGCCCGCAGGCAGTCGGAGATGAAGTGCTACAACGTGGTGAAGGTGGGGCCCGGGAGGGACGGCGGGTCGACCCCTGGAGCGCCCCCTCCCGTTCTCTAACCTCTGTGGGGGGCTGGGCAGGTGGAGCTGGCCGGACGCCGCACCCTCCCGCCTGTGATCCGGAGACAGCACCCACCTCCCCACCCCCCCGCCAAGTCAGGGTCTAAGGTTCTCCTTGACCTCTGCCCCGTGGCGCCCCTCATGGCCTTTCCTCTGTGGTTCCTTGGGAGGGTAACTAGTGGGTCTGCTGGGACTGTCCCGCGCTTTCCCCTCCTGCGGCGGAATCTGGCCGCTGCCCTCCCTGTGCTGGGTGTCTCCTTCCCAGGCCCGCCCTCCCCTCAAGGAAGACTTGGAGTCAAGGGTTTGGGTTCAAGTCCAAGCTCTCCCTTCAACAGCCTCCAACGGGGGTGTCTAACCCTTCCATTGCCTCGGTTTCCCTGCCTTCCATGCAAGGGTCCCTGGGCCCCACCCCAGCCTGCTGGGATGGGAGCCATAATCCCTTGCTGCCTCCACACAGATGGACGCCCCCCGGGAGCCCTCCCGGGGAGCAGGGCGCTCAGAAGCCTGCTGCCCTGGTGGGGTCCCTGGAAACAGCCCGGGACAGGGGTTCCCAGGCAGTTCCGAGGACGAAGCTCTGTGCTCAGGAGGAGGGAGGGAAGCGAGAGTGGGCAGGGACGAGCCGAGGGCGGGTGGTCTCAGCTCGAGCCATAGGAGCGCGGTGGTGTGAAGCGCATCCCGGAAGCACCGGCTGGGCCCTTGGACTCCGAGTCAGTCCCTGGCTGTAGGCGGCTCCTGGGGGGCCCTGACCTCTAGACAGAACCACTTTCTCCCATCACCATCCCCAGAGCAACTGTCTGGAGCAGCGGCAGCCGGCAGCCGGCAGGCACCATGGAGCCAAGCTGGGGAGGAGGGTCACCAACAGTCTGGTGGGGAGGGGTACCGGGCGGGGTCCTTTTGGGGGTCCCTGCACATCTGCGTCCTGGCTCTCATTCCGCCTCGGAGTCAGAGCCCTGTCCCCTCTCCTCGCCCCACATAGGAGAGACCGGGGCTAGTGCTCCCGTGGCCCCTCACCAACCCCCACCCCGCACCCTGGCCCAGGCCTTGAACAGGAGCCTGACGGTGGCCCAGCACACGCAGCTCATCCTCACCCTCCTGGAAAGGTTGGGCAGCCGCAGCCGGCCGCAGTGTGACCTGGCCTCGCAGCTGCTCCTGCTGCTCCTGGAGGACCGCGGCGTCAAGACAGAGCAGGTGCCACCCCGTGGCCGGCCCCAGGTCGGGAGCGGGCAGCCAGCCAGCTGCGCCTCCGGGGTGTCCGTGAGCCCGTGGGCGCGTACACCTTGTCACCAGTGCCACCGAGCCCCAGAGGCGGTGGGTCTGGAGGGCACCCCCAGCCCCCAGCACTGCACAGCCCAGCCTCCTCGAGGCCCCAGGGCCCTGCCCCAGGCGGTCATGGTGACACCCGCTCCCCGCTGCCCTTCCACGCGCAGGTGGCCGAGATCCTACAGGGCCTGTTCCAGGAGCTGTCCTCTGTCGTGTTCAAGGGCGTCCTGGAGACCATGATGAAGGTGGTGACGGTGTTGGGGACTCAGTACACCCAAGAGACTGTCGAGGTGATACTGTCCCTGTGTCACCCCTCCGAGAGGTAGGTCCCCTGTGCCCATGACCCTGAGGCAGACACCTGCACCTCACCACACCAGACACCACATACTGCCTCTGGGCAGATCCCCGCTCCTGAGCAGGCCGCTGTGTGCGCGACGCTCGCCCGACTGTCCTCTCCTTCCCAGACTCTGGAACCAAGGCCAGGGCGTTCCTGGAGCTGTCCCAGGCTGAGGAGTTAAAGGAGGCTCCGACAGTCCCAGGAAGGGGGCTTTTGGCATGGAAATGTCCCTCAGACTCAGAGAGCCCTTAGAGGCCAAACGGCAGGGGCCTTCGGAGGTCAGCTGGGCGACCCAAAGGACCTAACTGGCCCCGGGCAGCACCCCCAGCTGCCCAGGGCCCCGGGCCCACACACAGACCACCCCACTGCCCCTTGGGGGTAGTGTTTGGTTTCTAAGCTGCACCTGGGGATGTCAGATGGGCCCGGCAGCAGGAAGCTGGAGCCTGGGAAAAAGTGGGGGGCCCTGGGCTGCTGAGTAGCCCCAGTCAGAGCACCCCTGAGTGGTCTGTGTGTGTGTGGCCTGAAGTCTGAGGGGCACTGGGGGACCAGGGTGGCCCCGGGATCCTCTTGGGAGCACCAGGCCATCACAGGGCCACAGTCCCCTCAACAGGGAGCAGGGCTCCCAGGCCTGCAGCTCCATGAGCCCCTCCATCCCCAGGGAGACACACCCAGTGTGGTGCCCCTTTGCCCGGTCCATCTAATCGTAGGCGCCTGAGGGCTGAGCCCCACATCCCCAGGGAGGAAGCAAGCTGGGGAAGGTCACTTGGCAAGGGACGGCAGCACAGTGGGAACGAGCTCTAACGTTAGGGAAAGCTAGCCTGGGCTACGGGCTCTGAGTGGGGGTGGGAGGGGAGACCTCACTGGCTGTTAGGACACAGCCTCCTGGGCTCCCCGAGGGAAGGGCTCCCCGCTCCCGACGGGCCCAATCGTCTCCACTCCCACATGGCGAGCAGGTCACCCTGCTGTCCCGAGGGTCGCATCCCACCGGCCCCTCCACCCCTGGCGGGACTGGGCTCCCTGCCTCCCCAGACAGGTCCTGCCGCTGTGGAAGGCCCTGGCTGGCAGCCCGCAGCTGGCTCACAGGGTGCTCACCCTGCTCTACGCGAAGCTGAAGCTGCGGCCCGCCGGGGAGCTCCTCAGGCTCAGCCAGCCGGCGGAGCTCATCTCCCTGCTGGTGAGCCTCCTGCCGCCACCCCCACCCCGCTGTGCCCCCAGCGCCCCCCCTTGCAGCGGCATTGTCATGGGGGGGCGCCCTGTGGGATCCCCGGGTGACCCAGCCGAGGAGGTCTCAGCAGGAGCTGCGGAGGACCCTTGATGCTGAACCCCAACGTGGACCTCCCAGCCCCCACCAGGCACAGGCAGCAGGGGCCCAGGTGGGGGTGGGGTGGGGTGGCGCCCGCTCTGCTGGCCCCGGTGCGGGTGTCGCCTACCCGAGTCCAGCTCTGTCGCCTGCTGCAGGCCCTGGGCACCATTTACGAGCTCCTGTACACCCGGGAGTACAAGGCCACCGTGCGCTGGGCCTTCGCGGGCATCCTCGTGGGCCTGCTCACCCAGCTGCGCTACCTGTTCGAGCTGGGCGTGGCGGACGGCATCTCGGACTATGAGGAGGACGTCCTGGAGGTGCGGCCCCTCAGCCCCTGCAGGTGAGACCTCTAATGCGGCCTCGGGGCCCAGCCCCGCACCCACGGGCCCCAGGACATCCTTCCATGCACCCGTGGAAGGCCCTGGTGGGCCTCAGGCCCGGAGCTAAGTGCTGGGGAACCAGAAAGGGGTGAACTCCGGCCCCGGCTGGAGGCTCGCAGTCCAGGGAGCAGGGGCCCAGCAGCCCAAAGCTGGCAGGAGCCGGAATCCCGAGACACAGCTTGGAAGGGGGCCGCTCCCCCAGGAGAGGGAGGGACACAACCGAGGAGACACAGCTTGGAAGGGGGCCGCTCCCCTGGGAGAGGGAGGACGCAGCCAAGGAGACCCCGGCCCGGAGCCCTGACTCACCTCCTCTGAACACCCCACGTGCCCCTAGGACCTGCCTGGAGGCCCTGAAGGGTCTCTTCTGGACCACGAGCTACTGGGAGGTGTTTGCCCACCTCAAGCTGCTGCGAGGCTGGGAGCTCTTCGAGCATCTGGAAACCTACACCGAGGGAGTGACCCTCTTGGCTAGGTGGGTGTGAGCCTGGGGGGCCTGGCCCAGACGGCATCCCTCATGGGGCCCCCCTGCACCCCACCCTGGGACCTGTCCCCTAGACTCTGTTGCCTGGGCCGTGTCTCTGACTGAGCAAGGTCGAGGGGAGCTGGGGGAACCCCTGGCCAAGGATGAAGACCTTGGGGCCCCTGTGTCTGCCTCTCCAGGGCCATGGCCCACTATGACTGTGAGGTCAAGGCTGTCCTGGGGCAGGCAGTCATCTCCCTGAAGAGCTCCGAGGAACGGGACAACATCGTGGCCATTCTTATCATCACGGAGGTCAGCCCCTCCTTGGCTCTGCCCTGCCCCTGCTCCTGGCCTCTGTCCTCTGGCCCTTAAGAAGTTCTGAGAATCGGACTTCCTCTGGGACCCTCCGATATGGGGGCTTCCTAACTTCTGCTTTCTGCATCCGACCCGCTTGCTGCCTGGAAATGCTTCCTTAAGCCCAAGCCCACGACCTTCCATGGGCTACAGGCTGTCGGTCCTGGGCAGCTGACGGTGCCCACACCGCTCAGTTTCTCAACAGCCAAGAGCTCACCCAGTACGTGTCCCGGAGGACCATGGACAGCTTCCTGAGCCTGGGCCTCAACCACCCCAACCAGCTGGTGCGGGCCATGAGCCTAAAGGGCCTCAGCAGCACGCTCATGCACCCCAAGAAGGTGAGACGAGGGTCTGCCTGCTCCTAGGCCAGGAAGACTGCAGGGAGGAGGAGGCATTTGAGAAGAGCCCCCTCTGATGGTCCCACTGGACGGGGCAGGCGGGGAAGTCAAGTCAGGCCAAGGCAGGAGAGAGTGGGAATTTTAGGAAACCCCACTGTATTGCCTAGGGTTGGGGCTCCTAGGGTTTCTGGAATGGAGTGGGCTGGGGGGCTGGGACTCTGGCTTCCTCACCTGACAGCCACACCAGCTGGGTGTTCCTGTGAGGGCCAGGGCTCAGTCCCCTGCTGCCTGTGACAGGGAGGCAAGGCGGGCAGAGAGCCTCGGGCTCCATCAGGGAGGCGGACAGGGGTGGGGGGCAGGTGCAGAAGGCGGCGGGACACTTGGGAGGGAGCAGGGCGACCGGGGAATGGCTTTGTCTCCTCCCTGCCCCACAGGTGGTGCTGCTCCGTGGGCGGCTGGCCGGGCTGCTGGACCGTTTTGGGAAGCCGGAGCCCAAGGACCTCATGGGCCTGATGGAGATCCTGGGCGACATCCTGCACCACCTGGGGACTCAAGGCGTCGGCGCTGCCAGCCTCAAGATGGCCCAGCACCTGTTGCCGCTGTTCGAGGATGTGAGGGCGGGGCGGCGGCGCAGCCAATCGGAGCAGCCGAAGCCGCTCCCCCCGCCCCACCCCGGGGCTTGTGGGTGGGGTCTTCTGGAGCCCCGCAGGAACGGCCCACAGTGTGGAAGTTTCTGGGAGGCCTCTGGGCTGCCCGGACTGTGACCCTGCCCAAGCCACATGCTCCTCCACCGGGAGGCTGGGGACCAGAGCGGGGAAGGGGGATGCGGGGTTTGGGGGATGGGGCAGGAAGGGCCCTGATCTGGGGGATTCCTAGTGCAGCCCAGGAGCTGATGGCAGGAGCTGCAGGAGGGGCGAGGCCGGGAGGGACCACAGGGCCCGGTGGGCAGGTGTCTAGGGCCAAGTGAGTTGCGGTCACTGAGGCTGGGTAAGGCCGTGGAGGCCCCAGGATGACCCGAAGCCCGAAGGGTCCCCATCCGGCCAGGGTCCCAGAGCGAGACCGCCCCAGGTCTGGCCGCAGGGCCCATGCCCCAGCCCTGACCCAACAGGAGGGCTGCAGCCACTGGAGGGGGTGGCGGGAGGAGGGGGGACTGGCTGGAGAGAAGGCGGCCCTGCGGGTGGGGCAGGCCCGAGCGTCAGTGCGGCAAGGTCCGAGCGGTGAGCTGGAGAGGGCGGGCGTGAGGGCCCAGGCCGCCGCCGCACGTCTGGGGCCAAAGCAGAAGGTGGGAGAGGGGGCACGTGGGGGGCGGGCTGCTGGCGGCTGAGGGCTCCCCGCGTCCCGCAGGAGCAGGCCCCGGTGCGGGGAGGAGCCATCTCGCTGTTCGGAGACGTGCTCCACAGCGGCGGCAGGAAGTACCGGCCGGAGCTCAAGACCTTCGCCTTTCGGGCCCTGGTGCCGCTGCTCTTCCACCTGGCGGACCCCTGCCCCGACGTGGCCATGGTGAGCGCCCGGCCTCGCGCCCGCACAGGCAAGCGGCCCCAGCGACCGGCTGTCCAGGCGGGGCCTCCAATCACCTAACACCTTGGCTCGGACCCCCTCACCCCTACCCAGGCAGGCCTGCCCGCCGCCCCCTCCCCGGTCCCTCCCGAGCCCGCAGGAAACTGCTTCTTCCCCACAGAGGGGCTTCCTTCAGTTCCAGGCCATCCCCCCGGGAGCCAGCCCTCTGGACCCTTCGCTGGTGGCCTGACCGGGCGAGGAGACCCTCCCGCTGGAGAGAGGGCCTGGCGCCAGGTGGCTGCTGAGAGCCCTTGTGGCCGAGGAAGCAGTGAAGGGGGGGTGGACGGGAGACGAGGAGAAGCGGCAGTGTGGCCCGCCCGGTGGGAGGTGGAGGGGTACAGGTGGGCGTTGGGAGGAGAGTGTCAGGGTAAGCCGGAGAGGCTGCCTGGGGGAGGCGGGCTTATAAAGCCTGGGAAGCTGCAGTCTTAGGATAAGGTGCCCAGAGACCAGAAGCCTCCTGACGAAGGAGCCAGTGGATGACAGGAGGAGGGGCAGTGCCGGGCTGGCCTGTGATCAGGGCCTCCTTGTTGCTGGGAGAGGCTCAGTCTCCTGCGGACATAGTGTGAGCACCTGGCAGGTACACTTAGGAGGAAACTGAGGCTTTGCTTAAAGACTGGGTGGGCCAGTGCCCCCTCAACTCAGCAAGGCAGGGAGAGGCCCGCTTGGGAACAGGCCTGTCTTAGTTCAGGCCGCTGTGGGGTTTAGGCTGGGGTAGGGCTGGTCCCCACTGAGGGTCTCTCTCCTGGGTATGTAGACCACGTCTTCTCCCTGTGTCCTCATGTGGTCGTCCCCTTGTGTATGTGTCCAAGTTTGTCCTTATGAGGACACAGGTCAGGCTACCCTAGGGCCACCCAGGAACCCTGTGACCTGAATCAGCTCCATAGAGACCCCACAGCCCGAGGTCGTGGGAGTTATCTGGAGAGACAGGGCTCTGCCCATCACAGGGACACAGAGACTTTTTAGTGGGTTCTAGGACTATTGGGTGCTGGTGAGTGAGGGGCCGGTCTTCCTTTCCTGGAAGCCTGTTCCCCAGCCCTTGAGAGAACCCCTCAAGGTCAGGAAGGAAGCCAGGGTGGCCAGAGTGACCACTGGCCTCTTGAGTTTTCCTGTGAATTACAGTGGAATAACCATGGGGTGTACGGGTGGGTAAAGACACTACTATGGGGCGCCCCCCCCGGGGCTGCAGCCCCTCTAGGGCATGGGCACAGCTGTGAGTGGGGTCCTCATGGGGCCAGGACCCTCAGGGTCTCCGGTCCAGCGTGGCTGCAGAAGGCCAGCCGGTTGGGGTGTAGCCGAGAGGGCACCGACGAGGGGAAGCCTGAGGCTGTCCCTCCCCGCGGCGGCCCAGAACACCAAGCTCACCTTCCTGCGCTGCGCCATTCTGCTCAAGTGGGAGTTTCGGAAGGAGCTGTTCGGGAAGCTGGCATGGGGCCACGGCCTGGGCGCCGAGAATGACATCTTCATCTACATGGTAAGACGCTAGCGCCCAGACGCAAGGAGGCCAGGGAGACAGATGGGGGCTGTGCACCCTCAGGGGCCTCTGGGAATGGGCTTAGGCCCGGCACCCTCTCAGGGGCACCCGGACAGGGTGGGCTAGGCACTGAAAGCCCGTGGGGGGCCTCTGACTCAGTCCCGTGGGCGTGAACCGAGGGCTGGCTCCCGGGGGGCGCGGCAGAGCCCACGGCTGCAGGTGAGAGGGCCTTCGAGGGTCGGCCCCTACTGGTGCCCCCAGCACAGACCTGGGGAGGGCCCCGTCTCTCCCAGAACCCAGGACTCCCCCTCACGCCAGACATCGCTGGGCCCACATCTCCTGCTGAGGAGGGTGGGAAGGAGCTGGACGTGCACGGGGTGCGTGAACAAGAAACCGCAGCTCTGATTTCTAGCAGTTGGCTTGTTTCTCAGTTGGTCCCGGAACCCCTCCCTGCTGCTTGGGGACCACAGTCCAGGCTTCTCCTGGGCTGGGCAGCAGGCAGGCTGTCTCACCTGGCCCCCACGGGATCTGGTGGGGGTGTGGGGGTCCGGGGGTCCTACTGAGGCTGGGAGATGGTGCATGTTTCCTGGATAGGGGGGAGGCTGGCAGTCTGGGGGCAAAGGTGCCCAGAGAGAGGGAGGCCGGGCTCCTCAGCATCCGGAGGGCAGTGTCTCCCGTGGGCGCCGCCTCACTGGGGGGCCGGCGGGGCTTGGCGGGGCCGAGGGGAGGAGCCCTCTGCCCAGCGGGTGCGTGGTGTTGTGGGTTGTGTGCTCGGATGCGTGTGAACAATGAGCCGTTTGCGTGCTCCAGGGTGGGAACTCGATGAGTTACTTGTGTTTTTGCCCAGTTTATGACTTTGTGACTTTGCTCCCCATGTCTCTGGTCGTGCGGTTTTGAGTTTTGCATAGAAGGCGTGTTACTTGGCCGGGTTTGCACTTGGGTGTGGTGCAGGAACCCCTCGCTGCTTGGGGACGGCGCTGGTGCCGGGAGCCGCCAGGAGCTATATCTGCAGCGGGGATGGAGGGGCGGGTTGGCTGTGCCCTCCCATCTAGCGCAGGGCCGGGCTCCCTGCCTGGGGCCCGTGCTGGTGACCCTCTGCGTGCCATGGTTCCTCCACGTGGCCCCACGCTGTCTTCTCTCCACCTCTGCTCTCCACGCCCGCCTCTGCCCCACCCCCAGCACTCCTGCTGGCGCCCATCCTCCTGCCGCCTCCACTGGTCTGGCCTGGCCGTGGTTCCTGTGTCTGGCTCTCTTCTGGTGAGCTCCAGGTGTCCCCAGAGGTTATGGTCACCCACTGGGCTGTTACCTGCTCCAAGGGGCCCCGTCCCTGGAATTTCGGCGTCAAGTCTTGTTATGGGTGCTTTCTGCCCGTGGCCCATGGTCTCTTTCCTGCTCTTGTACCCTGTCATTCCGGATTGCGGGTCCTTCTCTGTGTGCGCCCCATTCCAGAGTCCTTCGTACCGTCCCACTGGTAGGACCTGGGACGGATTTGACGTCTCGGCTCTGAGCTGCCCCGGTTGTGTGGTATCTGCGCGGCTCCCGGTCCTCACACGGGTCTGTGTCGTGTTGCCACTGCTCAGTTCAGGTCTCTTCTCCTGCTCCTCACTCAGGCCGCGAGAGGCAGAGCCCCTGTCGGCTTCCCTCTGCCTCCCCTCGGAGCCTCCATGGCCTAGACTGCAGCGGCGTGTGCGATGCCCTGTGTGTGGGGTGTCCCCCCACGGACACGGCGCCCGTGGGGGCTTCCGGTTCTGGTTCCATCCCACCCATGTGCGCCCCGGGGGACCCCTGTCTCGCGCGTGGCGGAAGAGATGTAGAGATGGCGTGGAAGCCCGATACCCACTTTCCGAGTCTTACTGATTGCTGAGCCGCGCGTCTCCTACAACATCCCACGGTTACTAAGTTGCGTTACTAAGTTGCTAAGTTACTAAATTGCAGTCGTGAATCCCACAGAGTCCGTCTCTCCATGTATTTCAGCAGCTACAGACTTCTTGAGACGGGTGTGAGCCTTTGCCACTGGCCTCGGTGGGACTGTGGGGTCCCCGGGCGGCTCAGATGTCGGGGGAGCGACAGGGTCCCCACTGCCTTCCACTCCGCAGCCCTGCCTTCCTGCTCTTCCCCACGGAGACATCCCTGGGTTTGCAGGGTTCCCCACGTCCACACTTTGCAGGAGTTCTGGGGTTTTGCCCAAGAGGAAGAAATGTCATCTCAGGCCGGCCGGGTCTGGGGACATGGTTGTCCCTGGAGTGTGGCTGGGTGGCAACGGAGCTCCGTCGGCGAGGATATGTCATCTGTCACGCCTGGCCTGGGCAGCTGGGCTGTGTGCGTCTCCTGGTGCACCCCCTCAGGGGTGGCGCCTGTCCTGGGCCAGCTCCCCCCTGTGTGGAAGAGCAGCCGCCCACCCCGGGGTGCTCACAGCCCGTGCCTGGGAGAATGTGCGAGGCTGGTGGTGAGGCCGGGCCCCGGCCTGGAGCCCAGGATCCCAGCAGATCTCGCTACCTGCTCGTGGCTCTGACCCACCCTGAGGCCCTCGCTGGCGCCCCGCTGGGAGGGGCACAGGTGGCCTCCAGAGGATGTTCAGGACAGTGTTGGGCGGTGGGGACCACAGGGAATGTTCCAGACTCCTTGACACGGGCTCCCACTCGAGGTGGGTAGGAGTAGGAGCTGTTGCCCCAGAGCTGGGCCCTGCCAGCCCCTCTCCCCGCTCCCCTGCAGGAACCAGGTCCCCAGGCCTGGACCCAGACTAGGGTAGGGCCCTTGTCCTTCCAGGCCTGGGACTGCTGGGCTGGCTGGGGCCTCGGGCCGAGCCAGGTCCCAGAGGCGGGGGAGCCACGGGCGCCCTTGTCCCCCTCCCCCGCAGGTGGAGAGCAACTTCGGCAGCTATCACCAGTTCCTCATGCAGGCCCTGCACTACCTCGCCAGCCCCCACGGAAACCTGAGGCGGACGGCCATGAAGTTCATCGGTACGTGCCGGCCTGCGGTCCCCCGCCCCTGCCATGCTGCCCGCCAGCACCCCCCACCGCCCACTGCTGGGGCTGCCACACTGCGGGCTGCGCTCCTGTACCCCGGGGGGGGCAGACCCGGAGCGGGTGGGGGTGCTGGTCCCATCAGCCACACACTGACCTCCCGTCCCTGCCAAGCCGGCCTCCCTCGGGCCCCAGAGGCGCCCGTGCACACCCCGCCTTCCCTCTCTGCCCCAGGGGGCCTCCTGCACGACTACTTCACCGACCTCTGCTTTTCCCTGAAGAAGGGCGACCTGAATGTCCTCAGGAAACGTGAGCCCCGAGGGCCGAGGACGTGGAACCTCTTTGTCTCCCGACTCCTAAGAAGGGCCCTCAACCAGCCTGTCCCAATGGCGGGCCACCATCTTTTCCTTGAGATTCCATTCCAGGACAGGGCTGTGACCCCCACACCCCGCATGGTCTCCCGGGACAGGGCTGGGTCTCTCCACATCCCGCATGGGCTCTCAGGACAGGGCAGTGCCCCCCATACCCCGCATGTTTACCTGGGACAGGGCCGGGTCTCCCCCACACCCCGCAGGGTTTCCTGGGACAGAGCAGTGCCCCCCACCCTGCCCTACCCCACGCTGGGGGACTGTGCGGCAGCTGGGGGTCTCTGCCGCAGATGTGGAGGTCCTGAGGCAGGACCCAGACTCCATGAGCCGCAGATTCTACCACAGCGTTTTGGAAGACATCAGTGAACTCTCCCAGTTCGTGACTCACTGAGCCCTGGTCATCGGCCTTGCTCCCGGCATATGCTGTGTTATTTCTCTATTAAATGCGGCAGAGTTCCCCTTGGCCTCCCTGGGCTCTCCCTGCCCTGGACCCTCCCGCCACCGCTCCTCTGTGAGGCTAGGGCACCTCCTCTCCAGACCCACACACTCAGGACACGGGTCCTCAGCCCCTCTGCGGCCGCATGAGCCGAAACCTCACCTGCCGGTGCAGAGCCCAGAGCCCTGGGGGTCGGCCCCGGGCACCCCCCGCCCTCCCAGTGCTTCCCAGATCCAGTGACTCCCGACTCCCCAGCTTCTGAAACCCACCCACGTGCCTGGCCTGATCTAGCTCCCCCACCCCCATCGTGGCCTCTCCTCCGGCCTCTCCTCCTGCCCCATCCGTGGCCCTGAGGCCCTGGGGACCCAGTGCCCTCCTCCCTGTGCTGCCCGGCCTGATGCTTCCTCCTGCTTTCCTCCCCGTCCCTTCCGCTCTCTCTCCGGTCCCCAGCCGGGCACCACAAAGCCTCCCACCTGCTGCAGCCCCTGCTGAGGGGTCATCCGGCTGTGTCCCACAGCCCCCTTGCTCCCTGTGGCTGCTCTGGGGACGGCATCCGCGGCTGCTCAGAAAGTTCTGGAAGTGTGATAGTCGCCTGGTACATGTGAGTCAGACGTGGGACAAGGCTCTGATCTTCCCAAGGTGCCGGGGGTCTGCTTGTGCCCGTGCACCCCAGCAGCTATCTGCAGGCCCAGGAATCCCCCAGACAGCCCAGCCAGGAAAGCGAGGGGGCATCCCGGAGAAGGGCCAGCTGGAGGACGTCGCCAGTGAGTGGTGGTGGGCAGGGAGGGCTGGAAGGCCTTGAGAGCGGGCAGGGCGGATGGGGGTAGGGGGAGGCTGGGGAGCTGCAGATGTAGGCGAGTCTAGGCCTGGGTCTGCTGGAAACATGGAGGCCGTAGGGTGCTGGGTGGGAGAGAAGCCTGTGCTGTCCCCCACGATTGTTCCCAGCACCCGGGGGGCCAGGAGCTCTTCTTCCAACAGTGGCTGCTGGGAGCCCTGCGGTGCCCCTCTCCTGCCACTTGAGCCCTGCATGGTCGTGGGGCCAAGCGGTCAGAGCCAGAAGGCAGGGTAGGGAGGATGGGGGCATCCCATGCCAGGAGGAGGGCCTGGGGCAAGGAGCAGTGCGAGCTCTGGGGAGGCGTCCCCGGCATCAGGGCAGCGAGGGTCGGGGAGGAGAAGCAGGGTGACGCTGCGCTGAGGGACGCCTGCTTCCTATGGTCAGAAGGAGGAGAGGGTCCCCTGTGCAGCAGCCTTTGGGGGAGGGGACCGGGGTGCAGCCTCACAGGAGCCCAGGACACAGTGCCGTGGGAGAGGGGATGAGGACGGTGGGAGGGACCGCGACTTGCTCCAGATCACTCTGGGGTCAGCCGAGGGGACACCAGCCAGCCAACATCCGCCACGTGCGGACGTGGCGTTCCCGAGAAGCCTGAAAACACGGGCAGCTCTTGGGTAGATGATGATAAATGTACTTTTTAATGTGTTGCTGGTGCTTGAGAACAGTAAGGGAAGTCTCTAGAGCCTTGGAAACAAAAAGCAAAAAAGCAGGAGTGTCCAAAACTGAGCCAACAGCCAGAATGATGGGCAGGAAGCACCCAAGACCTTGGGGGTTGGGGGGCCGGGCTGGGGGGCCGGGTTGGGGTCAGGGCCATGTTCCCAGAGCCGGAGGAGGGAGCACTGGACTGGATGTGCTTAGCCTGGGCTCTGGCAGGGCCCGCAGGCAGCCTTGCCCCCTGGTCCAAGCAGCAGCGATCAGGGAGCTCCTGGCCGGTGGGATTCACACCCTGTGCCCTCAGCATGCAGCCGGGGCGAGTGAAACCGTATTGGAGGTTCTGAGAAAAGTTTGCAGACCCGAGGAAAGAAGCCGACGAGTGAGAGCAAACCCACAGCTAGTCCAGGCTCCCAGGATCCTCAGAGACTGGGGTTAACAAGTACGCTTCGCACCAAGTGATCGCGCATGAAATATTTGAAGAGACACAAAGACAAGCAGAAAACGACGGAAGATAAAGACTTACTAGACATGGCCAAACAGATATGAAACAGAAACGGAGTTTTTGGAAAGTGCGGTGGCTGCGTTTGAATCTCGGCCTCAAGGGGAGACGCGCTGGAGCCGAGGCAGGTGGGGGGAGACAGGAGGGGAAAGCCGCAGAGGGACGTCCGGAGAGGCCCGACGAGCTGGGCGGCATGTCCGCAGCGCGGGAAGCGCCCGGCTCTCCAGCAGCCTGAGAAAGGTCACCCCACAGGACACGCACTGGAGAGAACAGAACAGAAGGCAGTGGGGCCGGGAGGGAGGGAGGGAGGGAGGCACAGAGCCTGGGCTGACCGCGGTCCAGCACCCCATGGAAGGCAGCAGGGGGCGAGGCTCTGTTAACTGCCCGCGGTGAGGCTGCCCGGCACGCACGGGGCTGAGACACGCTCGCTCAGACCGCCAGCACCGATGCCCGGCACGGGCCAGCCTGGCGGAGCCGGGAAGCCCGGAGCGGAGCCCGGCCTCCCGAGCGCCCGTGAGCCGTCTGGTTAGCTGGCGAAATCCACTCCGAGACCAGAAACTGATGAGCAAAGCTGGGGGCGGTGAAGGGAGGCTGCGAGGAGTCGGACCGTCCGAAACCAGACGCAGCCAAGAGCACGGCCTCGGGACCTCGAGCAACGACCGGACGGAAGACGCACTGCAAAGTCACGGCAGTCGGTTTAGGAAGCAATGACGGCAGGAAAGAAGAGTGTGGCAGCCTAAGAGCAGATGGACAGGACACCTGAGATCCTAGGGTCCGGGGTAGAGACGGCAGGATGACTCCATAGAGAAAGGAGGGATTATTTCAGCGATGGTGCTGGAGATAAGCTCACTTCGTGGAGAAAAACTGAGCTCGTTGCCCTGGGCTGAACGCGGGGACAGGCTTTCCTTGTAACAGAGTAAACCAGGGAACCTCTTTAGGACCCGCGGGCCATGAAGGGCCTCCAGAAGCAGCTGTGGAAGAGGAAACCGTGAGGCCCAAGCAGAAGTATTCGATTACACCGCCCTGCAGAAGGGAAGACAGGGCGAGCCCCTGGAGCGGGGGCCCATGTGCCCTGAAGGGCGCTGGGGGCAAAGCAAAGAGATCGCTGGAGCCCCAGGGGGCTCGCCGCAGCTGACGCTGTCATCTAGAGCACACAGACCAGTCGGGACGAGGCAGCAATCCCACAGAAGCACAGGCCCCAGATGGAAGCGGGAGTGCATGTAGGGGGCACCTGAAAGCCAGCAGGTGTTTGGAAAGATGCAGACAGACCTCCACCCCTCATTCGGGAAACGCGCGTTAAACAAAGACGCTCTGCCTGATACCTTCCCGTCGGACAGATGTGAGCCCTCGAGCTGCTGCCTGGCGGTGGGGAGAACATGCAGGTCTGAGAGCCGGTGCGTCCCAAGGGTGCCCGTGGGTGCAGACCTGGTGGGCAGCCCTCTGACGGCACGTGTCCAACGACCCCGCGTCCCCTCCGCCTTCGCGGAAGACAGCAGCTCTCGCACGCGTGCAGAAGGACGCAGACCAGAGCAGGGCCTGGCACAATCATGTGCAAGTGGGCAAATGAACTACGGGGGGACGGAGGCCACGGGTTGCCGCGAGACAGTAGGAGGAAGCGGGTCAGACCCGGTTCTGGTTCTGGGCGCGATGGGAGTCCGCCTCCTCTGCCCGGCCTGTCCGCTGAGCGTGGCTGGAGTTCCCAGACACCACACATGTGGCAGTGCCCTGTGGACTTTGGGAACATGGCCCGTGGAGTGTGGAACGCGGAGGAGCCCTGAGCTGGCAGGAAGTGTCCCGGTTTCCTCCCTGGTGTCTCCTGGCTGGACTTGAAGACCAGTCCAGGCCTGCGTGTGTTGAGCAGGTGCAAGAGCTGGAAATGGGGGGCTCCTAATGTGACCAGAAAAAGGACGGGAATTGCCTTGTTTTCTGTTCTCTACTCCAGGCCCCAGGAGGTGGCCATGTCCCCTCTGGTGGCGCAGACCCTTGGCCAGGGATGGTGTGGGGAGGAGTTGCCGTGCACATCTGTGTTTCTCTTTCTACTGTTGTAGCACTTGGTGGGGGACGGAACCCGGTAGAGAAGGTGCACAGTGGGTGTCAAGCCGCAGTCCCGACTTCTGAACCGGAATCCAGGCGGGGTGCGAGGGACTCCAAGAGCCAGGACGCCTCGGAAAACCTCACGGAGGAGGGAGTTTGGGCGCGCGGGCCGTGGAGTGGCGTGTATGTGTGGGGCTCCCCCTGACCTGGGCACGTTTGTGTGCAACCCTAACCAGCACACACGCGATTTCAGAATTGCTCCAAGGGGTGGACCCGCTCTGGTCCCGCACTTGCCACTTGTGCCCATGCACACGGACCTAAATAACATGGGGGAAAGAGTTTAAACCCCGCTGGTAGGACCAGTGTTCCCAGAAGGTGGGGCTGGCACAAACCTCACCTGTCTCATGGTCTACACAAGCCCCTGAATCTGGGCTCCTCATGGGGTCTCAGGAGGACATAGAGCCTCACAACCAGGTGCCCACGTGGCCGGGTGCAGAAACGCAGACACCTCCGTGCGGGGTACAGGGCGGGAAAGGGGGCTCGCAGGCAGGAGCCACCAAAGGCTTTCCACCGACGATGGTCCTTGTGCTTCAGAGATGCACGACGGGCAGAAGACAGAGCCTCTCAGTAGGGCCATCGAAGACAGGAAAGGAGTAGCACGTCAGGGTAGGGCGGTATTGGCGAGAGAAGGCACAGACAGGTCAGGAGAACAGAGAGGGACCCGGAAAAGACCCAGCCCGAGAGAGCCGACCGACGTCCGGCAGAGAGCAAGTGCCTCCGTGGGAGAACCGTGGTCTTCCCAAAAGGCGGTGCCGGGTTAACAGAACATCCACGTTCGATGAAAAAAAAAAAAAATCCCGACGAGCCCTCACACCAGCACAAACATGCGTTCAGATGGCCCCAAAGCTTATTGTAAGACCAGAGCTCTAGAGCTTCTAGAATTCCAGACTGGCCGGGAGCAAGTCCGGGGGTGCTGGGCCTGAGGAGCAAGTGTGAGTGTT